CGTGCTCCGCGGCTTTGCTCCCCATCTCCCTGGTCTGCAGGGAGACGGGGAGCAAGCCTTGGAGCACGCCCGCAACGGGACAGCCCAGGCGCGCTTGAGCTGTCCCCCTGCGGGCGTGCTCCGCGGCTTTGCTCCCCGTCTCCCTGCAGACCATGGGAGAAAAGCCCCATTCGTAATTGCGGATCCGACATAAGTCGGATCCACGTAATTCGGGGACTGCCTGTATAGCTCATTTCTGCAGTATTAGTGATTTGTGCTGATACTATGTTGAATCATACAAACCAGTGCATACACTGTTCCCCTGGAGACAGCAGATCTAGTGTTTCTGTGACTGTTTGCTGGAGAAGAGGCTGTACAGTACAGCGGAATGCTTCAAAGTGGCTCAGGGACTGTGCAGCACTTATTGTTAACCGGAAAGGCACAATAAGGGATGGCATAGCCCAGAGAGCACTGTTTGGGTGGCCAACAGGCTGATGGTGTCAGGGAACTAATGCTCAGTTAAGCACAAACAGGGAAGGTTAACAACAAAACTCACAGTCCTATGTACCCTAAGAATCCTCACAGCTTCTTCTGGGTACTCTGTTGCTGAAGCAACATCGGGTAACTGCCCGATGTTCCTAGAAATCACTAATATAAACAGACAGCCTGATAGGCAGAGATATGAAGCACATTTATCTCCAGCTCTCAATCAAGAAGTCTGCATTGCGGACATAATTCAAACTGTTTGCTCTAACTGGGTCAGATATGTTTGTCAATAGCTGGTTACAAATACGCGGTTGTACTGTGGACAAGGCCTTAAACAGGAAAGCTTTGTATAATCAGAACTCCAGAACAGATTGAACCTCTCTAGTTTGGCACAATCTGGTCCAGCAACTTCCGTGGTCTGGCATAATTTTAGTTAGTTAGATGTCCACTTATCACGAGTGTGGCCAAGTTTCCCACGGTCCCATAAAGTCTGTTTACAGCCACCAGTCCTGGCTCTCAGTGTTTTGTGCTGTTATTTAGCTCTAATTTACCCCAAGTGTCTTCTAAGAGCCCAGTAAGCAGTGGAAGTGATGGTAATGCTGCTAGACTTGGGGTGGGCAAAAGGATCCAGCCTGCAAAGCAAGTTGATCTGGCCCACAAAGACCCTGCCACTCGCCCCACCCCTAGGCCAATCAGCGCACTTCTAAACACCACATACTCCTTGCAGGAGGGGGGCAGGGTGGGAGGAGACTTTGCATGTTCCCCCTGCCCCAGGGCCAATCAGGGCTTGGGGGAGGGAGAAGCGCATGAAGTCTCCTCCCGCCCTGCAAGGGGCTCACGACTTAAAGTCAATCACCAGCTGCTGGCTCAGTTGGTGGCTGATGCTAAACATGGTGCTCCCTTGCAGGGCAGGGTCAGGGAGTGAGAGATTTCATGTGCTCCCTTTCCCCAGGCCCTGATTGACCTGGGGTAGCAGGGGGGAGCATGCAAAGTCTCCTCCTATTGCCAGGGGCACGGGCACCTAGAGAGAACAGCTGCCAGTTCTCTCTGCAGGCAGCAAAGACTTCGCATGCTCCCCCGCCCCCACACCAATCAGGGTCTGTGGGTGGGGAAGCATGGAAATGTCCTGTCCTCACCCCTTCCAGGGTGGCCCGGGGCCAGTTCAAAAATGTCTGAAGTGTCCCCTGGTCAAAAATTATTGCGCAACCTTGTGCTAGACAATACTGACCTCCCATGGTCTGGCAAATTCTCCGGTATGGCACTGGTCAGGTCCCAAGGTGCGGAATTAGAGAGGTTCAACCTGCACTCCCTTTTAGCCTTGGGATTTGACAGTGCTATAATATTTAAAACTGTCTGAAACCAGTGGCTCCCAAACTGTTGCCTGCTGGAGCAGATCCAAGGAGAACGAATGTGACTGTCTCGATTTTCACAAGTATCCAAGGAAAAAGGAGCTAAGAAACCTGTAAAGCCTGTACAAGCAGATGGAAACAAATAGAGCTCAGGCTCAACAGCTAGTTGCTTACAAATATGAGGCAAGAAAACAGGACCTGCCTTCAAAGTCTGAACCATCAGTGGGACTGAAGCTGCCAGCCACAAGAAGCAGAGGAACACTCCGGAAGTAGGGGACAATGCATCTTAGTAATGTGTTAAGGGAAGTGTCATGGTGTATACGCACCCCATCCTGTGAGAGCGAGGTGGCAGGGGTGTGTAAACACTGTTTGCTCTCGTTGGTCCATTGGTGGCCTGAGTGACTCCATCACCCCAAAGTAGGGCGGCCTCATGGCCCGAGGGTCCATATAATATCCCTTTGATCACAGGGCAGTACAGCCAAGTGGCTGCAGTCTTTACTGTAGTACTTGGATTGAAGGGCAGCACTATCAAATGGACAGAATCTTCAAGTTGCAGAGCAGCACAGCCTAATGGCCAGCGTCCATATAGTAGCTCTCTGGCCACAGGGCACTATAGCCTAGTAGCTAAAGCCTATGAAGTCGCCCATGTCACAGGGCAGCATGGCCCAATGGCCAGACTCTCTGAATTTTTGGAGTTCCTGCGATTGCTGGAGACGAAGGACTTTACAGCCCAGAGTGAGCTGAGCTGCTCCCTTTTATACTGCCCCTGCACTTGGCGCATGTCCAGTACAGCTGGAGGGCGGGACTTCCTCTGACCACAGGGCATTAACCACCCCCTTCCTGGCCCTGTGCAGTGGATGCATATCCCGTCACAAGAAGCAAAGAGCCAGTAACACAGAACAAAACAAAGAACAAAAGCAGACAGTACAATCAAGTCATTTAAAAAAGAACAATTAACAACAGCTATAAATACATCTTCCTCCTCCCATCCCTTTTCAATGTAAGCAATTGCGAGAGCTGCCACAGGAATGCTGGGTGATCACCCATGAGAGCAGAGAGGGCTCATGTGATCATTCTATTAAGATGTGGTCTCCACATTATGAAAAAGTTTGAGAATCTCTGTTAGCAGATCCGTCAATTCCTATTTCTGAGTCTCCTATGTATTATCTGGACTCATATGTGAACCTAACAAATTCCTGCAACATTTGTTAGTGAAAAGCATTAAGGCTCTGATTCAAGAAAAGATCTCTGTTCAGCATCATGTGCTTAATTTCAAGCGTACGGTTCAGTATTATCCTGGATAGAAATGGACATACGCACATGGTTAAATGCTTTCCTGATTCGGGACCTAAAAATAGGAGATTGATTCTGCAGTTCCTCTGTCTCTTGCTCTCCTAATGACAGGCAACTATTGTGCCATATCATAATGATAGTAAGATAGCTTAATTGCTTCTTTCCAGAGGATGTCAGTTCTGCTTAACTGATACCTAATGCATGTGTCTTGCAGTAAATGTATTAATCTATAAGTACCCTACATTTTCCTCCGCTGCATTTGAAGAAAGGCTAAGTTCCAATGACTGGCTTTCTAAATGCTATATTCACTGACATGGACAGCAGCAATACTTTTCTCCTAGGACTCATTTATTCGTGAAAGATGCATAAAAAAAACCTTCTGTCTTCATTTATTGTACTTTCTCGACTAAAGCTTCAGTCTGCTTATGAATTCTCTAGTAGCTCTCTAAATTGGCCTAATTGAATAAATGAAAACATACTGAATTGCCAATATTTTGATATACTGGGATTAAACAGTTTTATACCATAGATTTCTGCCACCCCCATTCTTCATAGTGGGAGCAAAATTAATTATTTAAAATGTACTAAAGAGCAAAAGAATAAACAATCAAGTAATACATAGAATTTAATAATAAGCAGTTGTGAATTGCAGAGTTATTATTCATTGAGAGATTCCGGTGATGTCAAACCACATGTATTTTAATAAAATAAAAATTAAATTCCTTTTCATATTTCCCTTCCTGCTCCAATACCTGCTGTGAAATATTTTTGAGCATGTCATCTAAGATAATCTGCTTTTTGGAACTGGTGGATTTAGAGGATTCATAATTTCTTGTGGATCTCTCAGTGTTAAATTAGAGTCTGCTAACAAGTCATCAAACTACACCAAGATGATACTATATTATACTGTATATTGTACATCAATTACCATTCCTTCAGGAGCAAGATCTTCACAGAATGGTTTTAACCTATCCACGTATGGTACTTTTACAACCAGGTCTGTACCAGGGCATTCTGGGCTTCGGAGACCATGGTACCTACACCGTTGCTTGGGGTAAGGGCTTTTGGGTAGTAAACATTGCATTGACGGGTGGAAGACAAGCTGGACCTGTGCTAAAAACCTCATTCTAAACGCTGAAACAAACTGGTACAACCTATAAATGTAAAACATCTGAGTCAGCTGTTTTGTGCAGATGAAATATTCCATGTGTGTTGTTAGCTCAAGACATCCAGTTCAGGATTTCTGAGTTGCCACATACTTTTTTCAAAAAGTACTTGGAGACTTTTCAGGCCCAGAGTGGGGAGTAAAGGGGAACAGCTCCCAGCTCCTGGAAGAGGCAAAGACTAAAGTGGAAGGGATGAGGTTGGGGACTAGCCTTCCCCAGCAAGCCTTTCAGCACTTGTGGATGTGCACGTCCCATAGTTCCAGCAGTGATTAAAGCTCCCAAGGCTTCAGCGCTGCGCATGGTCAAAGTAGCAGTGGCAGTGGCCTAGTGCCCCGGGCTCTTTTAACTCGTTCGGCTTTGGAGCTGCTGCTCCCCTTCCCTCCCCTTCCTATCAGTGGCCCTGTGTGCAGTTATATGAACAGTCCTATAAAATTGCCACTTTGCACCTCCCTTACGTATTAGTCATCTGCAAACAAATGGAATTTATGTTCTTATTCAAAAGCAAACCTTCCTTTCTTCTTCTGATACCAACATTATTAAAAAAAAATAAATTATGCCTTTTTCTGTCGTGCGTGAACAGCATGTTAGATAAGTTCAATACATAAAAGCAATTTATGATTCTAAAAAAGGATTTTTTTTTCATTTTGAGTCTACAAATTATCAACACTTGTTCCTGGATAAAATATGCTAAAAGATCTCTCAGAATAGAAACAGATTTAGAACTTACTTGATTTTTTGAATCCAAATACAATAGTCTGTAATGTAGAGATCATTAAGGATGTAGGCAGGATCATTTTCTCGAAAAATCTTGTGAATGTCCAGCAGACACTTCAAAACAGCACTTTTACCTGGAAAAGCATTTATATTTTTTGAAAAAATAAATACAAATCTAAATCATTACAATCTTACACCTGCAATAAACATTTCATTGCAACACTTTATATCCGTGGCAGCAATCTTACTACTTTTTTCTGTTGAGTTAGTGCCTCAATCATTTGATTGGAATTCTTCACTCATTTGTCTATTAATTTATAAAAAAAATATAGGGAGTAGAGATTTAGGTCCCACTTACACAAGTTCTCTTCCACTGGTCTTCCTCTGCTTGCACACAGCCTCACTGAAATCCATGTAAATGTGCCAATTTGGAGTAGGGATGTTAGAAAGCGTTTTGGGGATTTTTTTGGTAGTAAATGTGAACATGTTTACATAGGGGGCTGGCACCACAGGAATTAGTGTGTGGGGGGAGCTAGCTTTTAAGCATGCTTCCTACAAGCACCGGCTCCTGTGGGGCCGCCAGCCTCCCCACCCCCACATTACTGTCTCAGAGGCAGCAGCATGGGGAGAGGGGAGTTGGCTCCCCAGGAGTCTGCTTAAAAGCCAACTCCCCACTAGCACCAGCTCCCAATTGCTCCCCGCCACTTGCGCTGCCTCTGATACAGAAGCAGCAGCGCGGGAGGATCCCTGCACGTAACCGTGAAGGTTAATCGATGAACCCAGGCTCATCGGTTATCTATTTAAATATGTATATTAACACATCCTTAATTTGAAGTCCATTGCAGGATCTGATCCTTAGTTCTCAGTGTTTCCTGCTGCTGTCAGTGATAGACTGGTTGGCAGCTCAAACCTCTGGGATAAAAAGAGCTTATCATACAGTCCTAATAACTAAAAAAATATAAATCCATTTTTAAAATGACTGGATAAATCTCTGGAAAATGAACATTTAGCAGCAAAAATACATTTTCTTATTTCATAACCAAAGGAGACTTGTTCTGCTCCATTTTTCTTTCATGGGTCCCTCTTTCTACAAAGCGAATGTTTAGCTACAAGCATTTCCTAATGATTTAGAACTTCTTCACATCCTTTTTTTTTTCAAAAGCCTCAAAACCACTAAGACTTAAGAATTAGTGAGAACACTTTTTAAATGTATATTTTTACTAGGCAGTGAAAATAAGCAGGACTAATAAACAAAAATAAAGTGTGCAGAGGGGAATCTAGCAGTCTCCTCTGTTTGGGTCAGCTTCGCCTAGATTATTTTTTTAATCTTAAATAAAAATTAAGATATTCAAGAAATCAACTCAGAACTCCCCCTGCTGTCCACAGCCAGGAGATTTAATCAGAGAAGTGCCCCAGACTGAGTGCGTTTATGCCAGTTTCCAGGACAAATAAGGGGGAAATGGGAAAGTTGTTGTTCAAGAGGGTATAAATCAGTGGCAGATGTGAAGAAACTGAAGAAATGTTGCACTGGTGGAGAACTACTCAAATAGAAAACTGAAGAGAGAATCAGATGCAAATTAAGATGCATAAGCAAGGGGCTGAGCTATAACTTCTAAACTTTATCATCCTTAATATCTGACAAGACAGACTATTCCGAGTTGAAAAGCAGCAGCCTCATTTTCTTAAAAATTGACAATGGAATAAAAACCTTGTTAGCTGTCAAACTGCCACCCAGAACAGCTTACAGAGTATGTGTATATATAATGTTATATATATATTGTGTGTATATATATTATGTATAAAACCAGTTTTAAAAGTTTTCAGGACAAATAAGGGGCAAGGAAAGGACTGGGTTAGAGGGTCTCTCTTTCTAATGCCCCGTAATTCCTTGATTCCATTCACTGACATTCATGGGGGTTTGGTGGCTTATCTGACAGGTCCTCTGCTGCAGCAAACATCAGACTGTTGCATAAAAAAGCCTCTGCCTGAGCTTACTTGATTTATATACAAGGATTTTCTAAAGCTACACCAAACTGTAAGGTCTAAGGTTTGAAACTGCAACTTATTGTGATCTTTGTCAAACTTTGTAATCTGTGTAATGCTCAGAAATTTACAGTAAACTGCAACTGCGTAATCTTTGTAACTCTCAGCCACCTTGCTTGTAACTTTCCCTAAGGGTACGTCTAGACTACATGCCTCTGGCGACAGAGGCATGTAGATTAGGCTACCCGACATAGTAAAATGAAGCGGCGATTTAAATAATCGCCGCTTCATTTAAATTTACATGGCTGCCGTGCTGAGCCGACAAACAGCTGATCAGCTGTTTGTCGGCTCAGCGTGATAGTCTGGACGCGCTGGTGTCGACATCAAAGGTATTTGTCGACCACCCAGGTAAACCTCATCTCAGGAGGCATACCTGGGGGGTCGACAAATACCTTTGATGTCGACACCCGCGGGTCCAGACTATCGCATCCGACAAACAGCTGACCAGCTGTTTGTTGGCTCAGCGCGGCAGCCATGTAAATTTAAATGAAGCGGCGATTATTTAAATCGCCGTTTCATTTTACTATGTCTGGTAGCCTAATCTACATGCCTCTGTCGCCAGAGGCATGTAGTCTAGACGTACCCTAAGATGCATTCTCCCCTGGATGAATGGAGAGAGAGCCTGAGTGTGAGTATGTTTGAAGAAGGCTTGGAACAATGTAGCACATTTCAATGAGTCATCACAGTCTGGGCATGCTCCTTGCTGGATAAAGGGAAGTCTGGGCATGCTCCCTGATGACAAGGTGAATGCGTCACAGGGGCCATTCAGACACAATATAAGGAGAGGGAGCACATATGAAACTCTCTTCCTTTCCTTCCCCTGCTCCTGAGAAGCTCCTCTCCAGTGTCTCTCCTGACCAGCTTCCTCAGCCATGATGAGCAGATAGACCCTCCAGGATCCACATGCCTTGGCTCCTTCTGCAACCCATATGTCTGTGTAAGTGTGTGAGTGCCTGACGGCGGGAATGAATGGGGGTGAATGAATGGAGGGTGTGTGTGTGTGTGAGCGAGAGAGTGAGTTCTATCCTCTTTAGTTTAAATCTTTGGTGCCTGCTTACTCCTCTTTAGTTTTACCTAGTGGAAATAAACCCATACTAGTGTAACCCTGGGTGGTCTCCAGTGAGAATATTTTTGGGGTAACACAGACCAACTTAACAATTCCAAAGCACTGTCTAGTGTCCCTCTACACTAAATAGAAAAGGAGTTTTTCATTTCATTGCTACAACAATTTCACAAAGTCAGGATCCATCCAGTATACTAAGGGACATGGAGGGGAAATACGTTTTGTTAAAGTTCTACTCTGTTTAGTTAAGACACAATGGATGTTGTCACAGATTTCATTTTCATCACATTGTCCCTCATGTTGCACGTTGTTTACACTGGTACAAAGAAAAAGAGGGAACACACTGTGTGAGTGCGACAAGTGATAATTCTGTAGGGCAGTTGTTTTCAACCTATTCATTTTGTAGAACCCATAGGGGCTCACAGACTATATCAAGTATCTCCAAAACACCCTGCATCTCAATTTGAAGTTTTTAGGGTTCCACAAATGAAAAAAAAAAAGGCTGAAAACCACTGCTGTAGGGTTGTAGAGATGGGCACCCCAACTCAACAGGGAATTGGGAGGAGGACAAAAGAACGGAACCGCCCCATGGACACCAATTAAGAGATTCAAAGATCCTTCAGGATACACTTGGAGAGACTGCTCATTGTGGGCATACACAGTTCTTATCCAGGCCTGAAGACACCAAAAGCATACAGTCTACCTAAGGGTGGCATAAATGTATAAATGTATAAGCTATCACATAGGAACTGCAGGCAAGCCTTTGCTGTGGTTTGAGAGCTCCCTTGCAGCAGTTCTCAAAATGGGGTCTTCAAGGGTACTTCGGGGAGTACGAGTCATGTCTGTGGCATCCAGGCCTGCTGCTCAACTCCCCTTCCCTCCCAATGACTCCTGCACAAGGTGGAATAGCTGTTCAGCAGCCTGCAGGAAGTGCTGGAAGGGAGGGGAGGAACAGGGATGGGGCACAGTCAGGTGAAGGGGAGAAAAGAGACAGAAAAGAGTAGGAGGCAGGGTGGGTCTTGCAATTTTTGGTACTGTGCAAAGAGGTGAGGATACCCCAAATGAAAGCTGAAGAAGGAAAATCTATTTACAAAGTAATGACAAGTGTTAAAGAACATGCACAGGATCAACGTGAGTGTTTGTGAACTAAAGTTTTTTGTTTGTTTGTTTCATCTTAGGTATTTGCTGCACCAAAAATTTTCCTGTCATACAATGATCACAGAAACAAACCTAAGCATGCTAAATGGAATTCACTTTAAGGCATCTTAAATAATGGAAATATTAATCAGTAACAATTTACTTTATTTGTAAAGTTACGGTATTACATTGTATTGAGCAGTTCATAAACTGCTTTAAACAAACAGATGTTTCCTGACTGTTTAAAAGTTAGTGGAACAGAATAAAACATAAATACCTAAAAAGATCCTAACCCTGTAAGAGAATTGAAAACAATGATTTATAAATATTTATGAAATGTTATTATATTAAACATAAAAAGTGTTGTAAGAGCCAGTACATTTGCTCATGGATTGCTGGACTCCATAGGAGTTCACTGCTAGGACTGCCTACAACAGAAATCCCACAATTTTCAACTCATGGAGTTTCAGGGGGACTTTTTCCCCACCCATGACTTAAATGATTTTACGTATAATTTGGCCTCTACGTCAATCATTTGATACAACAGAAATAAAGTCACTGTAATCTAGCTTTTTCATAGGCTCAATGGCTCATGCATTAAAAATAAAACATTTATGAAATAACAGAAAACTATAAAATCCATTCAGCTATTTTTTATCTCCTCAATCTGATTTTTTTTCTCCCTACAGCATCATATCAAGTAAATTAACTTCTCTTCCCAATGGCATTTCTATATATTTCTTCACACACTTGCAAACTGCAAAATGAGTTTGCATCTAAAGAAAAAAACTGAACTTTGTTATCTGATTCTTAAAGGTATTAAAGGATAGCATGAAATTGAATATATGAGGACTATAAAACATGGTACCAAGACCTTATGTTTATACCAAC